TTTTCTTGCTGTGGACTTACCTGGTAGAGCAAGAGGCCTGTTCCAGTCTGTCCTTGGCTAAATCAGTAAAAAGGTGCCAAGCTTGCTTTGCTGGCTTGAAAGGCATTTTGCTTAGTCTTATGTGGGGGGAGAGAAGATGGACCGTTCCCCACATCTCACCCCGTGGCTTTTAAAGCAGCAATTATGTAGTGTCCTTACTGTCCATTAGTATGTATGTGTGAACCAGGCTCTTGTCCAAACCCTCTCCTCACATTAAGAGTCTTCCCCTTCTTGGGTGTAAAAAGTAAATGTAAAAAATACAGATAAAGTATAATAATCCGTAACAACAAACAAGGGAACAATTCCCAAACATAATATACAATGACATATGTCACCGTTTGATTCAGGCCTGACAACAACGCTCCCAATCCCCTCTGCCTCCCACCCAGGTAGGGAAGGAGAGAGGGGAAAAATAGCCCCGGCTGGACCAAAAAACAAATCATACAACTTCAATCAAACACCAGTGATACCAGAAAATATATACAATCATGTACAAATATGTTCAGATGTGTGCAAAAGCTCCTTATTCTCCCCCTACCCCCCCAGCTGCAAACAGTCCCAAAGAATTCCAGTCGGCTGGTAAAGAAAAGCAGAGAGTGGTGAGGGTTGGGAGAGCTTGAGCCTGAGGGTCGAGGGTGATGGGTGGACAGAGTCCTCCTCAGACATCGGCCATGGGTCGAAGAAAAGGGAAGAAGAGTAGGAATTTTGTGTTTGTCTAATTCAGTCTACTACAGGGAGTCATAGATCTCCCTGTAGTGTCTGAGCCGGCAGAATAAAGATACAACCTTGAGGATCCAGTAGTTAGAAAAACATTCCTTTCTTATGAGTCTTATTTAAAACAGTAAAAGGAAAAGAAATAGAATAATTGCAGTTATTAAAACATACACTCAATTTTCAATTCTGTTGAAAAGAAAGCAGACCATTTGGGAAATTCCCAAATTTGTACCAAGTTCTTGTTACTTCAGTGAGTTCTGTAGCAGTATTTTTAAGTATTCCCATCCAATACAATATATTACAAACAAGAACAACTTGAAGGTGAGTATAAGTATAGGAGACATTGGTATAGAGCACCTTGTTTAGGCCGTGGGGTGATCAGTCCCACAGCAGTCACAAAGTAACTCCTCCAGAATCCAGTAACAGGTTGATCAGGCCTGGTACTGTCACCGGGATGTCTCTGGCTCTTTAGGCTGTCATAATTTGCAATGTATTAACTAACACCACTAGACACAGGTATACAGAAATGACTGATTTTTCCCAAAAGAAAACACTGATTTACTCAACATGAATTACCAATTTGTACTGATTTTATGTTGTTTGTAATTTAAACCAGATGCAACCCATGTATTTGAATTCACCAGTGTCTGTAAAGTAAGCTTGACCTTACCAATATTTGGCAGGTTTGCCAAAACAATTTGTCCAGGGTGGAGAGGACTTTTAGATTTGTTGTAAGGTCTTCTGTGCTGGCCATTATCCTGAGTAGGTGATGTAGGGAAAAAGGCATTTAGGTGAGGGCACCCGTTCACCCCCCACCAGTTGTTTATAGTAGTGACTGCATATCTCAGCCTCTCATCCCATCTGGAATCCTGTGGGCGAACGAGACTTTTAATTAACCCATTAGGACATTCTACTGTCCCATTAACTTGTGGGTAGCATAGGACATGAAATGTTCATTTGATACCTTCCCTTTTAGCCCATTGTTGTACCAGGTGTGAGGTGAAATGAGTTCCATTGTCAGATTGAATATTTGTGGGTTT